GGCAGATTGATCCAGTAGCTATGATCGTAAAGACTGAACTTCATGCGTCAAAGCTTGGAGTTGAGAAAGTACTATTGTTTGCAGCTGACTGTAAAATTTCAACGTTATCACGATCTAGTTGACAGCTGCACTCAAGGTAAATTGTACACGCCTCCAAACCGCAAGCTTTACGACTGGAACTTTCTTTTTATCCCTGATTGGTTGCTCGTGCAACAGACTATATCCGTATCAATGTTGACAATTTGAGTTGACCAATCACGTGAATTGTTCACGCAATCGCAACTTCTCGGGCCTTTCCGGTGTAACGACGAAAAGTGACCCCCGTAGAATATTGACCAGGGGGTCATTTTTCTACGTAGAAAAATGACCCCAGGTTAATATTCTACGACAAGTAGGGTCATTTTTCGACTGTAGAAAAACATTCCAGACCATTAATTCTACGACTCCACACACGTTGAAAAATGCCCCCATAGAAATTTGACCCCCTGCTTTTTTATACTATAAACCCTTATATTTGTGTCTCCTGATATTTTTCATACTTTCAAATGTAAGTAGGGGGATTTTTTTTTTTACTTAAATCCTTTCCAACATCTATTTGATTGCATATTTTAATAGTAACAATAACATCACAAGCAATGTATCTGCTATGGATTTATTTTTGGCTTGCAGAATTCCAATAAAAAACTTCAAGATTACTGTGCAATAATATATTCAAGAAGTGTTGTGAATCAGATGGGATACTCAAATTCCAAAGAACTTTTGGACAATTTCAAATCACAAGATTTTATCAAAATCAACATTTATCAAAATACTTTTCAACTTTATACACAACCATTCCCCACGATAAATTAAAGTCCAGGCTTTTTGATATTATTGACAGCTGCTTTTTCAATAAAAATGGAACTCGTAAATTTACTTACCTCGTCATTGGTCATTTGCAAAATTATTTTGTTAAAACACATTCTGATTGCACACACAAGTACTCTGAAGTTGACATCAAAAAGATGCTTGAGTTTCTGATTGACAATATCTTCATGGTTTTCGGAGATCAGGTCTTCCAACAATCTATTGGAATTCCCATGGGTACCAATTGTGCTCCGTTATTAGCAGACCTATTTTTGTATTCATATGAAACAAAATTTGTGCGAAATCTTATGCGTGAAAAGAATAAAACATTGTTGTAACATTCAACTCAACATTTAGATATATCGACGAGGTATTGTAAATTAACAACTGCAATTTCCATTCTTACGTCGATACGATATATCCTGGTGAGCTTGAGATAAAAGATACTACAGAGTCTGACACATCTGTTTCATACTTGGATATTTTACTGGATAAAGATGTTAATGTAATTTAACAACAAATCTCTATGATAAACATAATGACTTTAACTTTTCTATCGTCAACTTCCCTTACCTATGCAGCAATATACCTTCATCACCTGCATACGGAGTAATATATATCTCAGTTGATTCGATACGCAAGAGCATGTTCTACGTATGAACAATTTCGAAAACGAGGTAAATTATTGACAAGCAAGTTGATGAAACAAGAATATCAGCAGTCTCGTTTGAAGTAGTCATTTCGTAAGTTCTATGGTCGATACAATGACCTTGTCAGCAAGTACAATTTATCATTGAGTCAAATGCTGACGGACGTTTTTCATACTATTGTTAGTCCATTATTAAAACACTGAACTGACGACGGATTTCTCCGTTATTTCGCGATCATGACAAGGAGCACACGACGGGTGTGACCGGTCAGCAGGGGATGCTCACTCATCCATGGCACCTGATCCCGCCTCTTATGTTAAGAAGGCCCGTGTTTGCTCTGCTCCTATTTTGTATTGTTTTATGGACTTCGATATTGAATACTGTTTGTGATCTCCATATACTTCTTCTTTGAGGAGCATAAATTCATGATTAGATTTTTGGGTGTTTTTTTATCATTCAAAGGTTTTGTTTCGAAAATGGCATGATATGTTTCTGATAACCATAAACTTTGAAAAATTTTACAAATCCAAAAACATAGGCTAGAACTTCGAAGCAAGAAAAGCAACGTAATTTAACTATATAAATTCAATTCCCTTAGCTCTTACCTTTAAACTTACATATACATCTGATGCATTCTGCTTTAAAATACATACTTTTTAACTACCTTATATAAGAAACTATAATGTACTATACTTTTTCTTGTAAATATGGGAAATACCATACGCATCGAGAACGTTCTTAAAATGATATTTAAAAAACCTTCAAAACTTGCAAAAATTTGCATCTGAGTGAATAATAGTTGAACCTTAAGAGATATCTATAAATTCAAAAAGAAAAAAACTTTTCTTTTTAACACTTTTTAGCCCACAGAACCTGACAAATGGTTGCTATAACATCCCCTTTCTTCTGAGATTTTAGACACTAACTTTGCATATACAAATGAACACTTAGTCTATCGTGCCATTACTTCGATATCTAAAGTCCTAGCACATACCGTCCAAAAGTTAATGCCAAAGTAAAAGTCTGGAATTTTTGTGTAAAATTGTGTCAAACTCCAAGGTCAAGGTCAAAATTGGTTGTACACAAAAAAGGTCTTGTCACAAAAATACACCTGAAATATGAAAGCCATAGTCCCAGTCTAAAGTTATGGGCAATGTTCAAGTTTTTGCGGACAAACAGACAAACAGACAGACGGACGGACAGGTAAAAAACTTCGTTTACGGGGGGCATAAGTATAAAATGTAAAGTAACAACTTTCAAATTCATAATCCAACATTTGTTTTTTTTTCTATTGGTAAAAAAACTCCTAAAATCATCACATGTAAGTACATGTAGAACGGGGAAAACGATACTACATGTTCCAATTTTTGAAAAGACGAGCACTTCTTTTTTTAGTTAATCATGTTTTATGCTGCAACCCCCATTTTGTTAAGGTTTTGTTGACACTCGCAAACGACAAGACATTTTACAGGTTTTGAGCTAACCACTTTTTCTTTCCTTTGTGTCATAGGTCAGCGGCAATTTAATTTCGTACTAGTACATATTTTTACAAGTTAAATCATCCCTTTTTTATGAGATGTTTGAAGCTTCATTCATAGAAAACCAAATATTTTATAAGATCTAATTTTCTAAGCTAGCGCCCTTTTTCGCACCCGTTTCAAAAGTATGGATCAAAAACGTTAAACTTTTGAAAAATAAAACTTTATTTTGAGTTTTGAAAATTATTTATTCAGGGTAAAATCAAAGAGATTTATAATTAATTATGGAAATTTTTTTGACATTAGCGAGAAAATGACCTTTTTAAAAATTGACAACTATGTAAACTTACTGTACAGAATGCAATTTAAATGATTCTTTGAATGCGCGTATCTTTGCTCTAATAACCTAAGAACATTTTAATAGATATTGTATTTCTTTAACAGGTCGTGTTTAATGGGGATAAAACGGTTTGTATCATTAATGTAAGGTATTATATAGCTTTGATTTCGTTATTTAACCTTAAAACCTTTCAGAAATTAACACTTCAAAGCATAAGACTGCTTGATATTACCCGTATACATTCGCCTAACAAGAATATTCCTACCAAAACGAATGTTTTTGCATCAAAAAATGACAAGGGGTCATTATTCTACGGGGTCATTTTTCTACAATGCACACGGAGAAAAACGACCCCAAGGCCACAATTTCTACAGAAAAGTGGGTCATTTTTCTACGTAGAATATTGACCGGGGGGTCAAATTTCTACGTAGAAAAATGATCCCCGGTCAATATTCTACGGGGATCACTTTTCGTCGTTACACCGGCTAGCGGAAAAACGACCTGGAATGTATATGGTAGACGCCATGACATCCCTCCCTTTCCATGATCTTTGAAATAAATGCATGGAGACTTTTAATCTGTAGAATATGGAGTTTAACTTTTTTCAATGTAATGATATTACTTGGAATATACTATTGAAGGGACTTCAAACTCCATCTATCCTATGTTTGAATAAACAGGAAATGTATAAAATTTTAACATCCGGTGATGTTAATACATTCGAGGTTGTTTTTCCGACCTCTGACGGAAAAACCCGAGATGATGCGATTGTTGTTTACGCTGGATGCATCTGACGAAAAAGATCGTGACGAAACGTGAAACTTTACAGTTAGCTGTAAACAATAGTATCACTACTGGATCGTCCAATAACAGACGGGTCTCTTTCCTCGACGGATTATCATTATTTGCTGACGACGAAAATATCGTTATACATACGATTAAGAATTTGAACAATGCGGTCTGCATTGTTTTACAGCAAGATAATTAATATGTGATAAAATTCGTATCTTCTGATATTTATAGTTGACCTGGAGAGCTTATCTTATATTGGTGACAGAAATTACATAAATTTAACATGTGTAAGGTCTATGTATTGTATATGTATTAAGTATCCATTAGACACATTAACACATCAAACAAAGTGTATTGAAAAGTACAAATTTTTCCATTTGTTTGTTTGCATAGAGTATTTAATTTAAAAAATGATGTTTTAGGAATGTATTTGTTTTTATTCATGTTTTTTCTTTAAGTCAAGGATAATCAACTGTGATTTGTTTGTTGTAAACATAAATATAATTTCTAGTCTCATTGTTTGGCAGTGGGATGGAATCATCAGTCCGATTTCAATTACCTCTCTTTCACATGTTTCATTATGTTAAATCAGATCAATCATTTGGTAATTAAGTCTTCCATCAAAAAAATATTACAATTATGTACTACAGATAATATTCAGGATACTGTAAATGTATTACATTTGGCTGTGCATTCTTTTCAGTGTCTTTCGCGGGAAGAAACTTCCGCTAATTCAAGTACACCATTAAATGACTTCCACTAACGTATATGCATGAATAAGAACATTAAGAAATGCGCCAAATTTAATCTACGATAACTAAAAAACAATTTCCACCAAATATCGTACACGCCAAATAAAATACATTTACAATAATATAATTCTGTTTTTTCCCTTTATTTTGAACAAACAACACAGGAAACAAGTTGTTGGCTTGTGTACGGGGGACAGGGCAAAGATCCACATGCTGCCCGAACAGGGTAGAAGAGTTTTCCATTGTAATCTTTCATTCGGGATCCTTCAGTCATATACTCCGGATTTCCGTCCAAGCAAAGAAAGTCTGATCCATGGTGACTGTCTTGTTCGGCAGTCAAAACTCCACTGTATTGAATGGTCCAACCTGTTGGACACGTTGTTTTGGCGGGAATCATAATTGTTGACGCATGCATCAACAAACATACAGCACAAGGAACGTCATCATCAACAGCGATGTTTCTGTATGTAAACTGGTACTCTGCTCCATGAATTGTACCCCAGGCAACATAGTTTCCCTGATATGCCTTAGGATAATCCGACGGGGTGGGATCTGGATTATGTGGCAAACACAGTGTATTTGTTCCACTGCCAGATGTTGTGAAAAGTCTTCCTCCCGAAATTCCTTCAAAAAGAAAACATGTTACTTTTAGGTGTTTAAATATACGTATATGTGAAGTTTTCTCAGCACTGTCACAACCCAAACGTTTGTTTCAATAACTGCATTCCAGAAACTTTTTGAAAGATATTCAAAACAACAATAATAAATAAATATTGTATGTAGTTGAGTGTAACATTGAAAATTTTCACCCCAAGAAAACCATTGTCAACCGAGGCGGTTGCAATATTTATCATATTATACTGAATGTTTTATACAAATACATATTACAGTGAACCGTTCGCGCAAAAATTCTGTTCAGTCGCTATTTTTTGGAATATCCTCCGTCGTCAAGTAATGTTGACTGTTGCTACGCTGGAGGGCGTGGCTTCATTATTCAGCAGGTAATAGCGTTTTTTTAACAAATGTTTCTCAACCAATCAGATTCAACGTATTTACATGAAAGTATAATATTAAATATTATTATCACCAAACATGGAAAGACAAACAATAATTAGCCCTAAAATTTTTATGTTCACGAAATGACTTTTGAAAAGGGCTTTTTACGAAACTACATACCACTGTATACTGTAGATGTTCCGTTTATTGAAGGACATGATTTTTTACCCCAAATGATGTACGTTGTACCTGAAGAAAATATCAATCCATTTCAACAATACATATCCTGAAAATAATTGTTGCCAATCAGACAACCAGGGAAATGCCAGATTCAATTATGAACAAAATCAGCATCGAACTCTGATATATATTGTATGAAAATATATGAAAATAAATTGTTTTACTATATCCTAGTTTTCCAAGGTAATTTTGGAGCATTTTGTCAGATTATTAGTATTCACACATAGGGGAGAACGGGCATGATTAGTAAAACTAGGTATTTGGTATGACTTTGCAACATCCTGAATATTTCCTAAATCCGATATCAAAACGGTTTTAGTAACCCATTTGTTATATTATACAATTATTGCTGTTTTGGGGGTCAATATGGTAATTTATAACCTTAGGAGTATGATATTCACCGAGCCCGAAGGGCCTTATATTCACCTTAAATGTCACATGCAGGTAAAAATAAAGTAGTATTTTTTCTACATTGTTGGATCTCATCCAATTAGAAAGATAGGAATTATTCAGTCATATAATAAAAATAAATATTCCATCGGCAAATAATAAACCAGCGATTCGGCAATTATTAAAATACTATAGAGAAGGGGGAGGAGAAATTAAGCACGTTCCTACCTTGGTTGCTCTGTGTTATCATATTCCTCAGCAGCATAATTTCAGATTGGTGGGTTGACTGTAGTTTGGACAGTTGTAATGTCAGTGTTTGGACTTCCCTCTTTAGATCTTCCATTTGAGAATTTATCAGATTGGGATCATTCAGAAGAATTCGCTTTTCCTTTCTTTCCGGGGCATATTCAGAACGCGACAAAGCTAACTGTAATATACATATTAAGCAGACCACACTACAGACATTCCGTATCTTCATTTTCATTTGACTCATAAAGGTCACGTGCATAACCCAATTGATAAGATCGCGGTCATTTCTATGACAGTTCTGTATTTTTGTATAAAACGTACGTGTATAAGAGTTTACACAATACCGAGTTTTTATGGCGAGAAATTTGCTCATGAGTACATTATTCATGTACAAATATGCTTCTGTGTATAAAAGTAGATTTATTAGGTGTTCCTTTTTTGTGTGCTATCTTATACGTGCCGTTTTTAAGTGAAAAAAGATGTATGTATGTATTTTTTAATCACAACTTCAATGAAAATGGCCTTATACGGGACCTCTGGATTTTCCAGAGAAGGAATCAGGTGCCTAAGAGGAATGACCATTTCCATGTTGACCGTCACTTCCGACGAGAGCCCTCTGCATTGTTCAGGTAGACGTTTTTTTTTCTGTCGTCAAATTCATTATTAAAAAGGCCTAACAATTGGTATGAAACAAAAGCCAAAACACGAACCATTTGATAGGTAATATTTGCTTCCGAAGGTCAATAAAGCAACCTTCGATCATGCTGACTTTATACGAGGTTTATGAAATCCTTGTATCGTCAATTTATCAGAGAGTAGTATGTCTTTCATTGATCGTACTCCGAGCAAGCTCCTGAGTAGCAAATCGGTTGAATGATATAAACAATATATAGGAAATAGGAATTCAAACTAAGAGTGTAGGAGGACTAGCGTTTTGAAAGTATTCACAAGAAATGTTTAGTTACCATATGTCAACACCGTTTATTGAAATAAAAAAAAAGATAAAGACAATATCGTATCGTAGTGTATTCTATTTGTGTGCAAGGTTATATGCTAACCGTGGGAGAAATTGCTTTTTGATGGTATTTCATGGTCATTTCTATTTACGGTGTAACCGTTCATCAAATAAATAAAACATTGAATCACAGCATTACCGGTATGTATAATTTATGTCAGTATGTATGTCAGTGTAGTCTACTTGTGTGCCTATTTATATTTTAAACATCGTATTTGGTACTTCGTGCCTTTACCTCTTGTAGGAGGAGTATCATTCTAAAAATTGTTTACAGACAAACAGAAAGACAGACAGACGGACGACGACACTTTACTAAGTCTTTCGTTTCCTAGCTCCTGTGGATTTTGCCAGTAGAGCAAAAACATGCATACAAAAGGCATTTGATGATTACTTTATTAAGCAAAAAAAAATTTTTTTTCAAAAGAAACAGGAAGCCTTAATAAAGGTTAGGAACATCATCCCCCTCCCTCGATACGTGTCTTTTGAGGGCATGAAATGATTTTGGGATCTAAGGTTAGGGATATGTTTATTTCTTGACCAGATTTTGTTGAAAATTGTAAAATATATAGGCCTATGCATATGGAAATTTCTTTGTCTTTTGTTTTACTGTGCATTGTATTTTAGACTTCTTAAAAATCAGGATGACGGGAAAGTACAATGAATACGATAAAACAAATCACGTATGCATTGATTATCGGGTATGTTTTTACGACCTGTAAAAGCTTAATTTATATATTCGGTGTTCAAACTTATTAACTTTGCCATATAGTTTCTTTCAACAATTTCTTATCTATTTTTTTCCCTAAAACTGACTTAGCTAGGATAAAAAAAAAGGTCATTTGCAAGTTCTATTAAAGTCTATGGTTAGAACAATATTACACAAAAAATATTTTATTGAATGTATTGTATAAGTATTTAAATGAATATTTTATTGAATGTATTGTATAAGTATTTCAATGATTTTGCAAGATACTATATAGAACAGACCACACAAGAGATGGATTGCTTGTTTTTGTAAGGTGGACAAGGCAATGATCCACACACAGCTCGCACGGGATAGAATAGTCTTCCATTATTATCTTGTTGTCGTGATCCCTCCGTCAAGTACTCTGGATTGACATCGACACACAAATATTCTGTTCCTGTATGACCACTGTAATCAGAACCGGAAGTCAGTACCCCTGTATACTGAACGGACCAACCAGAAGGACACGAAGTTTTGGCGGGAATCATAGTCACAGAGGTGGCGCGTGAAGCCATGCACAGAGCACAAGGAACATCGTCGTCAATGGCAACGCTTTTATAGTTGAATTCGTATTCTGCGCCAAAAATGGTACCGGATATTTCACCAGCTACATTTTGGTAGGACGTTGGGAAGTCAGAAGGAGTAGGGTCAGGATTGTGTGGCAGACATAACGTATTTGTTCCGCTTCCGTGATATGTGAACTGCCTTCCTGCTGATATTCCTAAAAATGATAAATAATGTAAATCTTATATGAAATTCTCTGAACAAGGACATTTTGAAGCAATTTTTTAAGCTTACCACAAGTTTATATGTCAAACGTTGCAATTATCAATCTTTTCAAATTGAATTGTATAATTTTCTTTTGTCCCGTGCTTTCGCAAAATCAAATTGATATTAAATCTAATAATATGTTATATATATAATATGTCCGTCTGTCACAAATCTTTAACCTTGGTCATAACTTTTGAATTAAGGAGATAGGGGTTTCCTATTCTATATGCACATTACATGTGACAAGACCTTTCCAAATACACTTTGGTTTTTTGATCCAGTGACTTTGCCCTTGAAGTTTGAGCAACTTTGCAAAAATTTTGACATAAATTTAAATCGGGTCATAACTTTTGAAAGAGAAAAGAGAAAATACAAGACTTTCATATTAGACATGCATTATACCTGTGACAACACCTTTCTAAATATACTATGATTTTTCACCCCGAGACTTTGACCTTGAAGTTTGAGATACTTTTAAAAAGTGTTATCTTGCCTTCTAACTTTTGATTGAGAAGAAAAAGGGCTTCCATATTTGACATGTATATTACTTGTCACAAGATATTTTCAAACATGCTATGATTTTCGACCCCTTGATCCTGACTTTCATATTTTGTCATAATTAAAAAAAAAATCACTTTGGTGATTACTTTTGAATGACATATGATAGGGCGTTCATATTTGACACAATATACCATAGGTAATGACATATCTTCCACTAACACACCGAAAGCGAGAGACCATACGTCTTTGAATTTGATTGTTCTTATTTGCCTTCTATAATTTTTCATATGTTATTTATAATTTTTCATTGCTATTGTTTATTGATATAAGACAAATTGAAAATTATAGAATAGGAAAAGAAAAAAATATATTATATAGATAAAAATTATTCAATACAAATGAAAAAAAAAATTTACTAAATATATTTTATGCAATATTGGTGAATATTTTTTTTTCTTAAAGTTGATAGTGTCTTGCATTCCCTAATTAAACAGATTGTTATTTTATTTCAAACAATATATCTTACCACTGTAGACAGTATGAGTACCATTCACAGAGGGGCACGTTTTCTTTCCCCATATAACGTAGGATTCTCCTGAAATATTGCATTTAGAATTAACTCACAATTTTGTGCCTTTGAGATTTTTGATGAAGAAAATTTTGTTATATGAACGCACTGCATGCTCAGCATCGGTCTGATGCAGAAAGGTATAACGTTACCTGAAAAATTCCTACATAATTTTCTTAAGAAAATTAAATTAAGTTTCCAAAATAAATTCGTTTCTGAATTGAACGATTTCTTGACTTAATATTTAAGCTTATGAGCGCCGTTTCGGCATTTATTGCTGTTTCATCATATTATACTTTCATGTTAATTAGTTGAATCTGATTGGTCGACAATCATTTGTTGAAAAACACTATTACCCGCTGAATAATGAAGCCACGCCCTCCAGCGTAGCAACAGTCAACATTGCTTGACGACGAGTGATATTCAAAAAAATAGCGACTGCGCAGAATTTATGCGCGCACGGTTCACTGTTATAAGTATTTATACAAAACATTCAGTATAATATAAAATATATTGCATGTAGTTGAGTGTAATATTGAAAATTTTTACCCCTCGAAAACCATTGCGCCTCAGTTGACAATAGCTTTCTTGGGGTGAAAATTTTCAATGTTACACTCAACTACATGCAATATTTATATAATATCACCTATTCGTATAAGTGATATCAACAATTCAAACAGGTAATATTACTTAATGGTAGCAAAAACCAAAATGGTCCCTCATAGAATCTACCTATATGAACAGAAGGTAATGCAATAAAATATGTATAATTTTTTTCTCTTATTCAAAAGAACAAATGTTTTTAGAACAAAAGTAACACATTGCAAGATTTCTTGATTGCTTAGCTCTATTCTAATTTTTGTTTCGTTATCTATGAACTTTGTCTGCATGTCTGCAACTTGCAAGTTAAATATATAATTGGTTAACCATTCTAAGAAATAATTTAAGATCATTTCCGGTCTTGTTTACCTTCCCTGTACGTACCACGTGACTGTTTGAGTGAGTCGATTTCGGCAGATTGATCCAGTAACTGTGATCGTAAAGATTGAACTTCATGCGTCAAAGCCTGGAGTTGAGAAAGTATAGCAGCTGGATCGTCCAATAACAGGCGTGTCTCTTTCCTCGACGGATTATCATTATTTGCCGACGAAGAAAATGTTGTAAGACATAGGATCAAGAACTTTATAAACGATTCGGTGTGCATTGTTTTACAAGATTATTACTATACTGGATAAAATTCGTATCTTCTTGTATTTGTCGTTAACCTGGTCAGCTTATCTTATATAGGTGACAGGATTTATACAAATTTCTCCAAGTGTAAGGTCAACGTATTGTGTATAAATTTATCAAGTATTCATAAGACACAATACCACATCAAACAAAGTGCATTAAAAAGTACACATTTTCCCGTTTGATTGTTTGCATAGAGGAAAAAAATGTTTTGTCTCAATAAAACGTTTTAGGAATGTGAATGTCATCAACTATATTTTATTCATTTTGATTGGTATGTTGGCTGTTTGTTGTCGAATTTCGATCGGTAGGTAGACTATTGTGGTGTCAGTGTTTGGACTTCCCTCTTTCGAGCTTGCATTTGAGAATTTATCAGATTAGGATCTTTTAGAAGAAATTGCTTTTCATTTTCATTTCTTTCCGGGACATAATCAGAATGCTACACAACAAACTGTAATACACAAATTACACTGCAGACATTCCGTGTCTTCATTGTCATTCTATTCATAATAGTCGTGTACATAACTCACTTGATAAGATCAGGGTCGTTTTTTTCATTTCTATTTTAGTTTTGTATTTCTGCATATAAATGTACGTGTTTAATATTTTACATAATGTTGAGTTTTTATGGCAAGAAATTTGCTCATGAGTACATTATTCATGCAAAAATGTGCTTCTGTGTATAAAAGTAGATTTGTTAGGCGTTCTTCTGTGTTCTATCTTATACATGCATTTTTGCAAGTAAATACACATGTAGTATTTTTCATTACGTCTACGACAAAGGCCTCATTTACTGCAGACATTCCGTGTCTTCATTGTCATTCTAATAGTCGTGTATTTAACTCACATGATAAGATCAGGGTCGTTTCTTTCATTTCTATTTTAGTTTTGTATTTCCATAAAACGTACGAGATGTAATCAGGTGCCCAGTGAAGAGGAATTACCATTCCCTGTTGACCATCACACCAGCCGAGAGTCCTTTGCATTGGTCAGGTAGACGGAACTCTCCGTGGTCAAATTCAGTATAAAAACAAAGACCTAACAATTACGTATTGGTATGAAACAAGTCAGGCAAAATACTAATGCGACCCATTGATAGGTAAAATTGCTAAAAGTGACCGACTTTAAACGAGGTTGTTTGGAACCCCTGTAACTTCAACTTATTCGTGAGTAGTATGTCTTGCTTTAAAAATTGACAGCACTTGGAGGAAGCTCATGAGTAGCAAATCGGTTGGGAGATAAAACACCATAAGCAATCAACCTAACTGTAGGAGTAACATTTTGAAAGTATTTTTAATTTTTAGTTACCATATGTCAAAACCGTTCATCGAAATCAAAAACCGATAAAGGCAATTTGGTATCTTAGTGTAATTTACCTATTTGCAAAATTTTTAAAAATCAGACCTAAATTGTAGGAGAAGTAGGGTTTTTTTTTTAAGGTATTAGTGCTGTCTCCTTGTGTGCCTATTTATAATAAAATCGTACATACAATCATAGACATAAAATAGATTCAAATTTAGGTGTATGATAAAATGTAAGAGGATTGTAGCATTTAAAAAAGTGTTTAAAGACAAACAAGAAGTGTTAAAGACAAACAGAAGGACATCGACACTTACCTATCATTTTCTTGTGGTTTCTGCCAGTAGAGCTAAACATGCATACAAATTACATTAAGCAAAACGTAAAATTTATTAAACCTTGTTAAAGTGAACAGACAACACAAGAAATGAGCTGTTGATTCTTGTAAGGTGGACAGGGTAAGGACCCACACACTGCATGTACCGGATAGAACAGTTTCCCGTTATAATCTTGCATTCGAGCCCCCTCTGTCATGTATTCTGGGTTGTCATTAAGGCATAAGTAGTCTGTTCCATAATGACTACTATAATCTGACCCGGAAGTTAGTACCCCGGTATACTGAACAGTCCAACCAACTGGGCAAGACGTTTTGGCAGGTACCATCAAAGTTGACGCTGCATTTGAAACCATACACACCGCACATGGGACATCGTCGTCTACAGCAATGTTTCTGTAATCAAATTCGTACTCGGCACCATGGAGTGAACCAGAACCCGATGGGTCGTTGTTTTGAAAGCGTTTAGGATAGTCCATAGGGGCGGGGTCAGGATTGTGTGGTAGGCATAGAGTGTTACTTCCACTCCCATGATTCGTATATTGTCGTCCACTTGAAATACCTATATATTCAAATTTGAATAATGATATGAAAGAAATAAAAATCTATCAAAATGAGTATTTCCAATAATTTTGCTTTGTTTCAATGGTAAATGAACTCACCACTATATATAGTGCGCGTGCCGTTTAATGCTGGACACGCTTTCTTCCCCCATACGATGTAAATCTGGCCTGTAAGAAATGATATGATCTCTAAAGTTTTGATAAAGATTTTAAAATGCTTTGCAAACATTAACTGGGGATGGAATTTATTCCATGCACTTTACAAGGAATATAATTATTTGTTTGTGTTACGTTTCTTCAAATATTTTCACTCGTATTGAGAGTCCACCAGTTGCCGATGGAGGGCTGCCAATTAAGACCTGTTCTCGACACTTAGGGCCTTTGAGAAGTGAGGAATCTTTTTAATTTGAACCGAATCTTATACTACGACAAAGGACCTCGATTTACACGGTCTCTTCATATGGACCGGTATCCTTGTCCCGAAATTTGAAATTACCGCGTAAGGATTTACTTCTTACTCTGCGATTTCAGGACGAAAGCTCTAAGCACTGCGCCACACGGGCGACCTATATAAATCATATACTGGAAACTGCATTTTCTTTTTTTTTAATTCTTTATGCTGTGTGACATCAACTTATTGTTTGTGGTCGGATATGCATTTTATCTCATAAGTTGTGTACTTTCTATCCCCTAGGCCTCGGCGAGTCAGGCTTTTTTTACGCACTATTTGTTTTAACTTTTTAAATCCTACCTTCAGTTGTGGATCTTGACTGTTTGAGTGAGTTGATTTCGGCCGTTTGGTCCTGGAGCTGTGATCGAAGAGACTGGACTTCATTCGTCAAGGTATGAAGCTGAGAAAGTATCACAGCTGGATCATCCAGTAAAATACGCTTTTCTTCTACAGATTGTAACTTAGCATCGACAGACAAAAAATATACAATAAAATACAAGACAATGGAAAGAATTATTCCGGCCTCCATAATCTTGCACGTAGGTCAAAATGAAATGCCTAAAACCGTGACGATACGTCTTATCAATGACTGTCTGATAATCTAGATCAATTAAAATTCATTAACGTTTGAAAATAAGAAATATTCTCTTTTTTGATAAATTATCAATGATAAAAGTTTTGGATAAATTATGACTAATTGACATCTTATTACATAATACAATTATTGGTGTACACGTATATACATTTAATATATATTATGCTCGTACTAATTGCTTTTACACGTACTAACAATTATCCTAATGTTTATGCAACGTAGAAAACGAATTCACTGAAATGTGAAAACTTTTTTTCGTGTCCAAAATTAAATTACTTCTAGATTTTATTGTATGCATCATACTTATATTTATTATAAAAACAAGGTTGAGTGAGTCACACCTTAATACCGAAGTGTCCCTTTTAAAAGAAAACAATCTGTATTTTGAAAGTGTTTCGAGATGTTTTGAAGTTTCTATGAAATAGATATAAATGAGGAATTTAATAACCATCTAAATTTGAGATAAAATGGCAATGGGTTATTTCAGTTTTACAAGTCCTAAGTATCGATATCTTTATCATTTAGGGTAAATTTTCAGACACTTACATCAGAGACAAAAAGACACTGTATAAGTTTCTGCCTCCATTTCTCACATCTGTCATTATATACGTGGACGGTAAACAATGAGACCCTTTTCGCTATAACTCTATTTTTAAAGATAGAAAGCTACAATATGCTTGTTTAAACTCCCGAGTCCTGTTTCTTCAAATGTAAAATTCACAGAGAAGAAAGTTTACCTCTTCGGTATGATCAGTATAGATCTGAAGCATATTGTATAGTATAAGAAAGTATGTGCGCTAAACATTGTGTTCGATGGGGAAAAAAACTACAAAAATAATGCATGTAATGTATAAAGTAAATAATGAGATCAAAAACATATAAATTTGAATTAAAGAAATAGTATCGTTTACGAAATATAGTTATCCATTCTAACATAAATGGGGATAACACACGACTCAAATGTGGGTGCTCTCTAATTTATTTGTAAGTTCCTAGATGGATATAATGTAATACCTTTTATGCCATGCTTACCCCTTTATCCCGTAGATATGATAATGACTCATTGAATATTTTTTGATATCCCATAGTTGTGACGTCACAATGGTTTTGCGTTATATTGATGAAGTAAATTGAAGTGAAGTTCTAAATAAAAACAGAAAAAAAACATTGGTAATGATGTATAAAACATGAAATAAAAAGAAATCTCCCATGATTTGTAGTTGGATATGATTTTTATCTAACTCATCGTGATTTTAACACACAACTTGTTGGACAAAAATCATATCCAACTACAAATCATGGGAGAACCTAAATTTATATATAGCATTAAAGGTGCATTAGGTATCAGAGAGAAGTTGTATGTTGAGGCCCAGGGGCCACAGCGCTATGATTTTTATCTATTTGACTCATTGTGATTTATAACACACAACTTGTTTGAAGTACTTGAAAAGAAGATTTTAAAAGGTTTCCCTATATATCCTTATGTAAAACTCCAACTGCACTACCTGAGGATGATTCCACATGAGTTTCATCTTTCCTGGCTCAGTGGTTCTTGAGAAGAAGATTTTTAAAGATTTTTCCTATATATTCCTATGTAAAACTTTATATATAGCATTAAAGGTGCATTAGGTATCCTGGCCCAGAGAGAAGATTTTTAAAGATTTTTCCTATATATTCCTATGTAAAACTTGGGTCGGCCATATGATTTGAACAAACTTGAATCTACACTACCTGAGGATGATTCCACATGAGTTTCATCTTTCCTGGTCACAGAAGAAGATTTTTTAAAAATGCCATTAATTTTTAACAAATTTGATTATCTTTGGAAAAGGGTGTGGCCCTTTCAAACTGATCCCCTTCAATAAGTTTATAAATTGGCCCAAAATAAAATGTGAAAAGTTTACAACAGACGGACAGACAGACAGACAGACAGACAGACGGACAGACGGACGCCGGACAAAATGTGATCTCACTTGAGCCATCTCTGGCCATCTTTAAAAATATGTTTGTTTGCCCTCTCCCGATCAATTAGCTAAAATTTGCCCGACTCAAAACTTCTTTTAATCTGTAAGGAACGCTTTTTAAATTCTTTTTTCCCAGAATATTCTTCAAAAAATTCTTCCAACATACCCATCGACCAAATTTTTGTTTACATTGAGTCGGGAGAAGGCAAAGGATCATTCTATTAAAGCTGGCATTAGGGTAATGACCTAATAATTTGTTTGAAAAACGTCAGACACCACAATAAGGTAAGAGTTTTTTAAAAAATAAATCAGAAGAAAAATTATTAAAGCTATTTTTCTTTAGTTTTGAGAAATTCTTTACATGCAAATATTTTTATTTAAAAAAAACTGCTTTGTTCAACGGACGAATGACCAAAAGGATATCGTTAAGGGAATAAAAACAAGTCGGGAATGCACAACATCACATTTAAAGTAGAATTTATTTCATACCATTAAAGTGAACAGACAACACAAGATACAAGCTGTTGATTCTTGTAAGGAGGACCGGGTAAGGATCCACAGACTGCATGTACGGGATAGAAGAGTTTCCCGTCATAATTGTGCATGCAAACTCCTTCTGTCATATATTCTGGGTTGTCGTCAAGGCATAAATAGTCTGTTCCATAGTGATCAGTATAATCTGACTCGGAGGTTAGTACCCCAGTATATTGCACAGTCCAGCCAGCTGGGCAAGAAGTTTTAGCAGGCACCATTAAAGTTGACGCTGCATTAGAAACCATAGACACGGCACACGGGACGTCATCATTTATGGCAATGTTTCTGTAGGTAAATTGGTACTCGGCACCATGGAGTGACCCAGTAAAAGATGATATGTCATTTTGAAAGTGTTCAGGAAAGTCCAAAGGGGTAGGGTCAGGATTGTGTGGTAGATATAAAGTGTTACTTCCACTGCCACGATTCGTATATTGTCGTCCACTTGAAATGCCTATCGATTCAAGTTGTAAATGATTTCAACCAAATCGAAACTGTGCTTTCCAAAATCTTGAAATGATAAAACTAAAAAACTACTTAAGGCAATGCTAAAAGTGAACACAGTGTATACAGTGCGTGTGCCGTTTAACGCTGGTCATGTTTTCTTCCCCCAGACAATATATGTCTGACCTAGAAGCAATTAATGATATGATTTCATGATTATTGATAAAGACAAACTAGTATATGGTATTTTTAAAAATGCTTAGAAAACCGTCTAGAGAATTCAGTCTTAACATTAAGAACATAATATCATGAAAGCATGTGATGGTCTAAACGAATTGAACGGAATTAAATTATTCAATGTTGAGTCTTATTTATCGGGTCACTTGAGGTCTTTCGATAACAACCGATATTGTATATCACATACATATGATATCTTTTTGTTTATTTCTGACCTACCTCCTCCAGCTTTTGATCGTGTCTGTTTGAGTGAATTGATTTCAGCCGCCTGGTCTAGGAGCTGCGACTGAAGAAATTGAACCTAATTTTCCAGGGCCTGAAGCTGAGACTGCATCAGGGCTGGATCACCCACTAAGATCATTTTTCTTCTTTCAACTGTAGTTTAGCATCGGTTCACATGTAAAATGTTATGAAATATAATACAACTGAGGAAAACCTTGGTACGATCTTCATTGTATTGTATGCAGGTCAGAATGAAATATACAACATGGGCCATATCACTCACCTGAGCACTGTGGCTAGCATAAAAGGAGAAATTAGTTTATTATTGAAAAGTGTAAATCCAAAAGTAGTCCCAACCATTCCTTAAAGGTGAATGGGTATGATTTGTACAAACTTGAATCTACACTACCCGAGAATGCTTCCATATAAATACATGTATGACCAATCATGGCTTTCTTATTCTTGAGAAGATTCTTAAAGAATTTTCCTATATATTTCAATGTAAAACTTTGGTCAGCCATTGTGGCCCCGCCCTACCCCCCCCCCCCCCCGGGGGGGGGGGGGGTCATGATTTGAACAAACTTGAATCTACACTACCTTAGAATGCTTCCATATAAATATGACCAATCATGGCTTTGTTATTTTTGAGAAGATGATTTTTGAAGAATTTTCCTATATATTGCTATATAAAACTTTGGTCGGCCATTGTGGCCCGTCCTACCCCTGGGGGTCATGATTTGAACAAATTTGAATCTACACTTTCTAAGGATGAACAGACACAATTTGAGGATGATTCCACATGAGTTTCATCTTTCATGGCCCAGTGGTTCTTGAGAAGAAGATTTTTTAAAAATGCCATTAATTTTTCACTAATTCATAATCATCTCCCATTTGAAGAAGGCTTGGCTCTTCATTTGAACAAACAATTCCCTTCACCCAAGGATACTTTGTGGCAAGTTCGGTTGAAATTGGCCCAGTGGTTCTTGAGAAGAAGGTGAAAAGTTAACGACAACGACAGACGACGGACAAATTTTGATCAGAAATCCTCACTTGACCCTTTGGCTCAGGTGAGCTAACAATAGTGACTTGCCTGTTCTGTTTGTCTTATCGGCGACTATACGCCAACATTCTCAAAGTTTGTCAATATTACAGTTGCATGTATGAATTGTTAATCAGAAAAAAATATGCCACAGAGCGCGCTGACACAATTTTTTATTAAGTTCTTTTCAAGTATCTTCAAGCTTTATAAAACGCAGCACGAGTTAGATAAAAATCATATCCAACTACATACAATTCATGTGAGATTTTTTTAATGATGTGAATTATGATTTGAATGAAATCGAAATCAAGAAAATGAGTACCCGTTCCCAATAATATAAGCGATAAAAAAATAATCAGAAGAAAAATTATTACCGTTTTTTTTTCTAGTCTAGGGAGGTTTTTTTACATACTAATATTAAAAAAGAACAGCTTTTTTCAACAGACTAATAAACAAAAGGAAATCGTTAAGGAAAAAAACAAGTCGGCAATGCACATTAAATTTAAAGTAGAATAGAATTAGGGAATAACTATCTTCTAATTTGGTATTTGCGACCATAAATGCTGATTTAACGGTCGCAAACTGAGTTTTACCGGCGACGCCTAAGCGGAGCCGGTAAAACGGATGTTTGCGATCGTTAAATTCGCATTAACCGTCGCAAATACCAATTTAGAAGATTAGTTATTCCCATTCAAATGAATCCATGCATTTTATTTGTTGTTTACGTCTTATTTTGTCACATGAAATACGTCACGGAGCATTGTGTTTTCTGCGTCGCTCTATTATGACGTCACGATAAAAGAGCTTAATGCTCGTTTTTGCAAGCGCTCTCGAGCGCTAGCAAAAGTCCCTGAATACGCATGCTCGGCTTCATGGTGGTGCATTCTGGGAAAACTATGAAAACTACTATAGATAGACCGTACAATAACAATTTCGTTGTATCATTAAATAACTATGTTTATTTATTGTGTAGCGTACAGTTTAAGGATAGCAATACTTCAATTTTCCCTTTTTTCTGACGGAAAAGCCCGAGTCATTCTTTGATTGTTCCAAACAAAGACAAAGGAGTTTTTTTTTATTTTACGTCTAAGCACAACCAAATATAGCCTCTATTTTCTGATTGGTCAATTCAGCCAATCTTACAATTTCCAGAAACAAGAATTTACACTAAAAATAACGAATAAATCCATTATTTATAAAAAAAAAAAAAAAAAAAAATTCTGATGTGCATGGAATTTTAAAACCTAACAGTTCTTGACAAAGATGACCCAAAGGACCAAGCTACTTCACAACTTCGTCGGAACTCTCTGGATTTTTTTTAAACAACATACACTTTGATTTATTTCTATATTCCTTTTAACTCCCTGTATTTTCTTTGCTACATTGCCACAAAATTTCACCCTAAAACCAGCTCATACAATGCCTCAATCGGCATCTTCACTATATTTTATAGACCCCCCTCTCTCCAGTAAAGGTCATAAATTTTCCGTTGAGCCAAAACTCAAATAGGTCAACACCCACCCACCCCCTCGTTTCTTTACCTATGTGTGTATAAAGTACACTTCACAAAACAATTACAACTTTATCACACTCCAGCCTCGATAAAAATTAAAGAATTCAGCAAAATAAATCACTTAATCACGGACCTTCCTTTCTCTGTTTAAAAATTGCTACGGCGCTAGCTCATCTATCCTTTTAAAAATATTAACTTGTACTGCTTCGAACATCAGTGCACTGGCCAATCAAAAAGTGTTTTACAAAACAGTCCGTTATTTATGACGGGATTTCTTAATTTTTAATTGAAATGACAGATTAAATTATGATTTTTCATCTTGTTTACCTACAAATTATGCTCTGAAATACCGTATTTGACCAAGTTAAACTTATAAGGCATCATTAAAGGAATTTATTTCTCAGATTTGAGGAATCTGTAGACACCTTTTATTTACTAGATCTTGACCTTAAATTGAACAGACAACACAAGACACAAGCTGTTGATTCTTGTAAGGTGGACAGGGTAAGGATCCACACACTGCATGTACGGGATAGAACAATTTCCCATTATAACTGTGCATGCGAGCTCCCTCTGTCGCGTATTCTGGGTTGTCGTCAAGGCATAAGTAGTCTGTTCCATAGTGATTAGTATAATCTGAACCGGAGGTTAGTACCCCGGTATACTGCACAGTCCAGCCAGCTGGGCAAGAAGTTTTAGCAGGCACCATTAAAGTTGACGCTGCATTGGAAACCATGCACACGGCACATGGGACATCATCTTCTATGGCAATGTTTCTGTAGGTAAATTGGTACTCGGCACCATGAAGTGACCCAGTAAAAGATGATATGTCACTTTGAAAGTGTTCAGGAAAGTCCACAGGCGTAGGATCAGGATTGTGTGGTAGGCATAGAGTGTTACTTCCACTGCCATGATTTGTATATTGTCGTCCACTTGAAATTCCTATTGAATAGTGATTTAAATATGAAAAATGTAAATCAAATCAAAGTTTGTGAACCTGAAGAGATTCAAGCAATCTTGAAAGCTTTATCTGCAAAGCTGACTATTTGCAGCGGTAAAATAAACTCACCACTGTAAACTGTGCGTGTGCCGTTTAACGCTGGACATGCTTTCTTCCCCCATATGATGTATGTCTCGCCTTTGGAATTAATAAAACTGATCATTTTAAAACTGTAAATCTCTTATATGTAATTTAAAATACATTATTATATCTGACTATCAATTAACTCTTGTTTAGAAATGTTGTATCAAAACTTTTGGCATCAACATAATTGATTTGCATTTGAGAAAATATAACCTTCCATTGTTGCCATACGGCATTTCCAAACGCTCCGCAATACAACAATAATTAACATCTTTTCATGAGATAAATACTAGCAATGCAGGAAAGTTATTCGATATTTTATACGATGTGATCTTTAAATAAGAAAATGACAAAAGGTTTTTAAAGTATAAATTCAACTTGACTGGTGTTGTTTTCATTTTCAAACCCTACCTTCTCCGCTTTTAGATCGTGACTGATCCAATAACTGTGACCGAAGAGACTGGACTTCGTGTTTCAGGGCCTGGAGCTCAGAATGTATCAGCGTTGGATCGTCCAATAAAAGGCGTTTATCTTCCCTTGACGGTAACTTAGTATCGACAGACAAACAAAACAAGTATAAGACAACCAAACGAAAATTTGATACGACCTTCATTGTATTACGAGTAAGTCAGTACTGGATACGTTAAACGGTGGTGCTTAGTTTTATTGATAAGTCTTATCAATGACTGAACGAATATGATTTTTAGTCTAAATTCAAAATACATCAAATGACAAAATGTTCGCATAATTAGCTATTTTACAAGTATTTTAAATCATTGGTTTCAATGATAAATAGTTTGCATAGTTATTGACAAGTTTTAAAAAGTTTATTATATAAGTTTATGTGTACTTCAGCTTATAAGTTGTTACTAATAATCTCAGGTTTGTATACTGTTATTGACATTATGTGAATGTTTCTACCCTTATTCTCTTGTATTAAAAATTAAATATATCACAATGTAAGTGTAAATTTTACTTCAGGAAGAATTCAAACTTTTAAAATCTTGTTCTGCTTTCTAGACAGAAGGAACTGGGATAAAACTTCATGACTCACTTGTATTTTCTTCCTCGTATTTCTACGTGTATCTTATTGAAAAATAAGGGAAAATATGGTATTATGCGATTTTCAGTAGCGATCAGGTAAAGGATTTTAACAGAATAAATTACCATGTTTAAATAAAACTCACAGAGTGTGCCTTGATTTTATCCTTAAATCCATGAGAGTGGGAGTAATGTCCGGAGAAAGAAGTTAATGTTAATTCGCACCACGGAGCTTCATAGTGTGGTAGAACTTCTATAAATAGAACTACGGTAATGTTGTCAGTTTAATATGACATTTGTATTTCTCATCTGTGTTTTATAAAATAATACAAATCAAAATTCGTTTCCATTTAATTTTAACAATTAGATGAGTAGGACAAACGGAATAAAGACTTTAAGACAGTTAAGATGGGATAATGACTCAAAGTCAGCATTGTCAGGACAAAGACCTAAAACAGTACAGAGAGGTAAAGAGCCAAAGACCGGACAGATAGAATCCTACAACAAGGATATGGACTCAAAGATAGTGAAAAAATATGATAAAGATTAAAACACAACATAAACATAAAATGTCCCGAAATACAGCCGAGATATAAAATAAAGGCTCCAAAAAGGTGTTCAGTACATACAACATAAAGACTAAAGGAAAGGCACAAATAGGGAAATGTTTTGAAGACGTCATAGTGAGAATAAGGGCTCAAAAGATAGCAGACAAAAAGACTTGAAATACAGCAGTCAGAACAAAAGATGAAAATATACAGTATAGGCAAGATAAAAAAATCAATCACAGCAAAAAAGCCAAAAGAAATGCACACACATGATACAGACTCAAAGTCAGCACAAAAAGGATACAAGAACTCCAAAACAGAAGATATAGAATTAAGACGCAAAAACCGTGCAGTAAGGATATAGACTCCAAGATAGTTTTAAAAGATGGATGAGGATTCATACATAGCAAAGACAGAAGAAATATAGGATAAAGGCTCAAAGAGTCACAGCATGGATAAAACCCAAAAGAAAGTCACATACTGGATAAAGACTATAAAAGACACTACAAACAGGATAATGACTCAAAGATAGTAAAGACAGAATAAAATCTCAAAGAATGGTGCAAACAGCAATAAAAAATAAAAATAAGGCACAGACAATTTTTCATTTTGGAAAATGTATCATATTATGTATAAAAGGGGATAGGTGCATCAATCAAATTTTATAGGGTAAAGAAAAATAATACTGCATTATTTAACAAAAAAAAAAAAAAGGCACAGTAAGGAAATCCAATATTAAAGAAAACAGTGTTATTCATGAAAAAAGAATTCCTTAAGTTTCTAGATCTTAATACAGTGTTTTAATATCAGTACAAGGTTCAGATGTAATTGCTCTCGGTTGTTGGCAAGCACCTCGAAGGGCATGGAATTCCGTGCTAAGCCTGCCTAAAGGGTTTCTTAATTTTCCTTAGAAACCAACATTTGAATTTGATAGATAATTGATATATTATGTAAAGAGGTGTATACCATTAAAATTTAACGATATTCTAAGTACCATAAAGACCCGTAGTTGACGTAGGCATAAATTAATAGCAAGAAACAATAAATTGTACAAACAAAAACACGTGATTTCTTTTGGATTACTCTTTTAAGTATCCAAGATTATATTATTACCGGAGACCCGGGGTCGCAGAAACATTGGTTTACAGCGGGGGGACCTGCTTAGCTGATTGTATATAATGCATGTTAAATGGAAATTAGGTAGTAACTGTTAATGTGACTGATCGAAATTTAAAAATTTATTACCTCATTGAGAAAGAAATTTAAAAATTATGATATCTTGTGTGAAAAACATAAAACATCATTGTCTTGTAGTTTAAATAGAAAAGAACAATTCAATAGGAAGTTTACTGAAAAAATGAGATATTGTTTCTCCATAAACGGACTGTAAGGGTAAAAAAAATTTAAAATCAATAATAGAAAAGGTTATCTTAAAGATATGATATGTTTAAGTTTTCCAATAAACATGTATTAACTGTTAAATGTTTTATTTTTCTGCATTGTTTGTACAAATTCTTTCTAAATGTTATGAACATTGTATACCTGATGGTTTTCTGGTGCATAACCCCCTTTGATTGTCTAAAAAGTTTAATTAAAAAACCGTGATACAGAATGTAATATCTAAAGATAAATCTATTAACTATTAAACCTTTATTAAATCAGGAAATACTAAATCATTAGTTCAAAAATTTTAAATCATGAGCAACTGAATCATACGGTAATTCAACAATTATAATTGAATAAGTAACATATATATCATTCATCAGTGAAGTTAAAAACATGAAGAACTGACTCATTATTCAACAATTAATTAAATAAATAAATAACACATTATTCATCAGTAAAGTTAAAATCATCAACAACGGAATCATTTTCCAACAATTTATTGAATAAGTAACTAGCATGTTAATGATCAGTGAGGTTCAGAATGAATAACTTATTCATCAAAGATATAATTACCAAATGAATCATTTATTTATAAAGTCAATATAAGCTAAAAGATTTTTCACCTTGAAGATAATCAAAATGAACCACTCCTTAAATCATAAAAATAAATGAAACACTGAATCTTTTTAATTTAAGGGGCTGGGTGGTTGTGGCCATTTTTAGACTATTTTGATCTTCTTTAGAAGAAGAGCTCCATATAAAGATATAATAAAATGATCAAATTTTAAAACTAAAATTTATGAAATTTTTCTTTGCCAAATGATAATTGACAGCTTAAGATATCATATCTAAAAAAAAAATGTAATATCTGGTGGTTATTAGAAAAAATTATTTGTTGACCCCCTAGCCTCTTTAAATAAGGAAACACGCAGAATTATCGAATAGTAAACTGAGCGGTCATCTACATTTAAGTTTTGGATACTATGGAACCATCATAATATGATTGTTCATGGTGGACTAATATTTAAGGATTTTGAGGGTCATCTTTCTCCACGAATTTTCATCCCACAAACATTTTTTTGTCTATATATTTACTTAATTAATTTTCAGAGTATGCAAGTTACCAACGAAATCACGTCCCCACGAACCAACAAAATTTTGCTTACTTACGAATATTTACCCCCCACGAATTAAAATGATTTAATTGTCTTGAATGAATTTGATGTAACTGTAAAAGACAGAATATTGGATCTTAAGGACAGATGATACAAACAATTTTTTTCTTTGAAATAGATTAAATATCAAGTCACAAGTTTAGAAAAGTGGATGGTTCTTAGATTTTGTTCTCCTAAGAACTGGAATATGAAAAAAACTTGGAAAATATTAGTAATATTTCAATGAAAAAACAAATATAGACAAATCACATTCAGTAAAGGTTTACAGGTGAAAACAAATTTCAGAATATGTTATCTTGGTGCTAAAAGTGTAATATAAACTGAAGAAAAATATACCAAGCCAGGTGAATTTTATTAGGAAAAGCTAAATTGTAAAAATCAGCCTATGTGATATTGCTAATTTTTTGTCATTTTGTTCCTCCTCTTAAAATTCACCTGGATTGGTATATTTTTCTAAAGTTTATACTACACTTTTAGCGCCAAGGTAACATATTCTGAAATTTGTTTTCACCTGTAAACCTTTACTGAATGTGATTTGTCTATATGTGTTTTTTCATTGAAATATTACTAATATTTTCTCAGTCTATTGCATTTTCTAATTCTTAGGAGAAAATATTCAAAGAATTATCCACTTTTCTAAACTTGTGACATGATATTTAATTTCTTTCAAAGAAAAAATTTGTTTGTATCATCTGTCCTTAAATAACAATACATATCGGTATCACTGCATAGTAAAACTGTCTGATGTCTAATGTCACACAAAGATACCTTGAGTCTTCAATGGACCTGACAAGATAATCCAGAACGAGATTTCAGACGTGATGATAACGAGACTTCTACACGGTAAGTCACGATAAAGAGGGAGGGGTTAATGTAACTTCTACCGTTCTATCAGCAAAGGCGCTCTTGAAATTATCACAGATTATATATACAAGAACACAATCAGTTCGCATTCTAATTCCTAATTGGGTTTCTATTGCTGATAAATTTGTAGCATACTTTAATGTTTGTGGATTTTGATTTTCAATTTTGTTGATACTTCTCTGATAATCAATTGCTTCATCGGTAATGAAAATGTCAAAATTGTGACTTAGGCTGGATAGCATTGTCATCATGAAATAATTGGCAATTTTATTTACAGTGTATTCCCAGTTCCTGGGACAATTCGGTATCAAATTTTAAATACTGTGATAGGGACAATGTTCTTGAGGATGCTTAATTTAAAAATATGAAGTTTGATCTGGGTTTTATTTTTTATGAGAATGAAATTCTTGATTTTTTCCATGCTTTGGTAAAAAAGGAACATAGGTTTTACTTTAAGCTGACTTCATCCTCTGACGACATAAAAACAGTATCAATACAATGGCGAAGACTTATTAAGATGGCAGTTGCTCAAACTAGCAATTTTTTTAAATAAAAGCATGCAGAAAAACGAAAAAGGGTTTATGAATTTCAATATTTTTTTTTTTACAATTTTTTTCTTCATTTTTCT